GTTGGTAGGTAATAAAAGTGTGACTCACTCACTCGTTCAAAATCTTTGAAGGATAAAAACGATTTTACTTTAGATAAATACCACCATTTAAAAAAGGATCTTTTTACAACAGAACTAATCTGATTCTCAAAGTTAAAATTAAAATTAGGTTTTACAAATGGTGCCAAGATAGCCAGATCTGTAGGAGAGAAGAAGCACTGAAGTTTTCACTGGGACCTAAAATGACTTCAGCATTATCTTCGGTAATATTTAGGAATTTTGAAGCCATCCAAGAATTTATTTCAGTGAGACAGTCAGGTGGGAGTTTCAGTTAAATAGAATATTTGTGCTTCAAATTAAAATAGACCAGAATGTCATCTGCATAAAAATGAAAGGAGATGTTGAATTTTGCCTAAAGGAAGCATATAAATGGAAATTAAAATGGGTCCAAGAATAGGTCCTTGAGGAACTCCACATGTGAAGGAGTCAAAGGAGGAAACAGATTCTCCAAGGCTTACACAGAAACTCCTGTCAAACAGATAAAACCTGAACCCCTTCAGTGCAGATCCTTTAATAGCACATTGCCCCAACCTGGCAAGTAGAATCTTCAGATCAGCTGTGACAAATGCAGCTGTCAGGTCTAAAAGTAAAAGTACAGCAGAGTCTCCTGAATCTGCAACTAATAACATATCATTAAACCTTTTAAAAGTAGTGTTTATACTGTGTAGGGCTGGCCTAAAATCTAAAAACCCAGATGAGTAGATATGCTGTGGTGTATGTGTTAATCTCTAAAGCCCATCAAGACCTCTTTAAATTCCCAGAAACAGAACCACAGAGCTGATTACGGACAGTTAAAGAGCTGATGTTTAGTTGAAAAGTCTTGAATTTAGTCACACGTTAGCAGGAATTTGAACAGAAACATATTTTTGAACTGAGGTGGACTCACACGAGTTGAGGTGGAGAGTTGTTGGGAAGCACAAGAGTTATGATTCCTTCTCTCTGACACCAATCACCACTACTCTGATCAACGGTGGTGTCTGAAAGGCTCTGGGTTACGTTCCCACAGTTGCCGTTGCAAACCCATGGATCACTACTACAAAATGCATAGTTCAACTTGTAGCGAAGAATCACCTGTAGATTTAAAATGAAGTGGTGTTAAGTATAATGAAAATTTAAAGTAGAATAAAACCACGACACAGAAGCTTAACTCACCGAGACTGTTCCATCCGCACGAGTTTCTCCTGGGTAGTAGGTCATAACGGTGCCATAAAAATGAGAAGCTCGAGTTCTGCTGACCAGCAGCAGCAGCAACACAGAGAGCAACATGGTGAAGGAGTCAGCGTCTCTGAACAAAGAATGAATTTTTACATAAGATTGCTTTGGCTTTCTCAAAACAAAAAAAAAACCTATCACCTATTTCCCTTTCTTTGTTTATTTACCGTTCCACGTGATTTGCATTTTTACAAAAGACCATTTGCTTGTACAAGTGTCAGTCGGACTGATGTGGTACCACCAGTGGTGACGCATAATAGCTGTGACGTAAACGACGAAGCGACGTATTTATGGATTTTTCCAATTTTTTACACATATTTGGACTGATGCAACTTATAATACTAATAATAATAATGTCATCACAATGTCAGCACTGTATGTTTCCATACAATGGCGAAATTAGTCTCTGCATTTAACCCATCCACCACCAGGTGGTGCAGTGGGCAGCTATTGAAAGCGCCCGGGGGACATTTTGGGAATGAGGCGTGCTGCCCAGAGACGCCACGTGATGTGCAGTGACTGGGGATCGAACCTGGGACTTTTGGGTCCCAAGCCGGCTGCCCTGCCTCTACACCATCTCGGCCCCCATATATAGGGTGTAAGGCAGAAAGTACGGATTCCCGAACCACCTCAACTGAGTCATTTCAATGTGAAGAAGCAGCGGCTCTTTCAGGCTCTCCCCGGATGACGGGAGCTCCTCCCTTGATCTCCAAAACCGGGTCCGGCCACCCTGCAAAGGATGTTTATCTCAGTCACTTGTATCCAGGATCTGAAACACAGATGGACCAGTCCATCCAGAGCATTCCCTTCCTAATCAATTCTTTCTTCACCACAACTAATCAAAGTACGACCCTTGTTACCGAGGACAAGGTTCCAATCTGTCGATTCATTTCCCACTCCATTCTACTAGAACACAGGAACGAGGTGCCCAGATACTTGAACTCCTCCATCTGAGGTACACAAGACAGGTAGGAACTTTTTTCTTGTTTCGGCTGCTCCCTTCTTCAGAGGTCGCGACAATGAAAGACTTGGCAATTGTTTTTATGCCGGATGCCCTTCTGACGCAACCACAGACCACCGAGCTACCACAGCCTCTGTGTGGAGCAGAGAGCTGCCCGGGAGAGCAGCTGGTGGGGGTTAAGGGCCTTGCTCAAGGGCCCAGAGTGGAGCAAATGAGGGTGGAG